TGGCAAAGTGTGGGGGGGGGTACCGTTCACTCGTGTTATTCGCTCCTGCAACGCTGTGAATGTGAAACAACACGAAGTAGGAATTTGCGGAGCACTGCTTACGTAGTTACGGTAATCAATTGCTCTTTACTCAAGTCACGTGGAACACCGGGTGTTTAGCTGCAAATCACTGACAGTTAGCTCTTTGAATAACGTCGCTGCTTTAGCGTAACGGGTACGATTCATAACCCCACCCAAGATCACCACCTAGTGTGTGTGGGTGACGACGACGGTCGTGGCAGCAGTTGCAGTTTCATGTTAAAGTATTCCGACGTCGCCTAGTAATCGTTTGCTTTCGTTTCAGCTATGTGGAAGGAACTATGCTTCAAGGCGAAATGCGAGGTCGTCTTCCAGCCGAAGTGTCCTAACGATTCCGTGCTGATACCCGCGCCACCTCCCGAGCTACCGGAATGTTGTCCGAAGCCGGGCAGCTGCCAGTGTGTGCCAGAGGTACTTTCTTGCCTTCTACTAAAAATAGCCCTAGAAATAATAGCTCGTTCCTCCTTATGTGCCATGTGAAAAGTGCCTTGTCGAATATTCTGATTATTACTCAGATCAAGGTGAAGTTAATTGTAAATTATTTTATTAGACTAATTAGGCGTAAAATTTTTTTGTTTTGTATTGGTTTTGCATGTTTATCATGTCTGAGAAATTGACGGTTTTGGTTATACCTACAGTCAAAAGACTACTAGCAATATATATTTCGAGCTACTTTCTCTGAAAGATCCTAAATACGTTTTTGTTTTCCATTTTGCCTTTCTCACGCGACATTCAACTTGTTGGTCACTGTTAGTAACCCAGGGATAGTTACTAGTATTGCTGTAGTACGTTTTTATATTTTCTTTTGTGTGCTCAGATGCCGCGGAACAGCGAGGAATATCAAACAAATGTAGCTATTTCCACTTGCTTGGTGGTCTTATTACCTATGGTCATAAACTTTTTTTGCAAATGCCGCCAGTGTTTTCCTTCGTTATTTTCTACTGCCGGTGCTTGATGATTTTTCTAATATTTACTGCCGTGCGTTGACCTTTCTACGTAACACGTAATGGTATTTTTTGTACTCATGTTGCGCATTAGTCACCGAAAGCCGGAGAATGGCATAAATCCCCTAATTTGAAATGGCGCGACTTGCGGATCACAGTGAAGTACACTTTTGATACGGAATATAGTCGATAAGCAACAGCTATGACAGGCTGTGAAGGTGTGGGCGTCTTTCCTGTTAGCAC